TATATATATATATATATATATATATATATATCCCTTTGCAGGGCAAGCATTGAATCCATAGGGAACAATAGCAGATCTTTGAGAATGCAGAAGGGGCATTCTGCCAATACAAATTAAGAAACTGAAACTTTATGTTTTCCTCTCCCTCTCTTTCTTTTCCAATATAAATAAGGCTTGGAATTTAATTTTCTATCCAATTAAAAAGAAGAGCCTCATATATTACTACGTTGCCAGTTAGAAACCACAGTCCAGTTCCTTCCATTTTATAGATGTCTTGGTTGTTTATTTCAGAAGCTTCCATTTTCATTAGCAAGGTTTGTTATGAATGCTACATAAATAATAGGCAGCAGAGGTGGTATTCAGCCAGTTCTGACAGATTCTGTAGAACCGGTAGCGGAAATTTTGAGTAGTTCGGAGAACCGACAAATAGGCTGGCCCCACCCCTGCTGCCTCCAAGCCTTCCAGCTGATCTTCTTTTGTTGCCCTGAACAGGAGAACAGAGCTGGAAAGGAGATTAGTGGGGTAGTGAGGGAATGGGGATTTTGCAGTATCCTTACCCTGCCACACTCACCAAGCCACGCCCACCAAGTCACGCCCACAATCATGCATGTTGAGACAATAGTTCCCAGAATCCTGAAGATAGAAAGTGATAATGAAATAGGATAGTTGTTTTTCCTAACTTAATGTTTGCACTGAAAGAGATTTATGATGATCTAATTTGGTTTGGTTTGATCAAAGCCAGCATTTCTTGACAGGCTGTTCTACGAAGCAGCAACACATTGCAACATGAAAGATGTTTGACTGGGTCCGTATTGGGCATTCCTAAATCCAATTGCTTTTTGTTGATCTTGGTCTTAGGAAACAATGTTCAAGATTCCAAACTTAGATGAATATCATCAGGACTACCTCAATGACTCAGTGAGAGGCTTAGGGAAGGAAGTATGCAAGCAAACAGATGATTTGTCTCCTTTGGCACAGATTTTTTTTTTTTTTAATGATTAACAGATACCACAATATTACTCTTACTGGCTTACAGTCGCAGACCTCTGAAATCCAGCATTAAGTTGGGGTTTAAGATTTGGAATTCAGAACCAATATTTTATTCCCAAAATGACTGCTGATCAGTTAATGGGGAAGGGGATGGCAGGAGAACTGCACAGTACAAAACTAGACTTAGGCAAATCATTAGGTGGGCCCATACTGGTAGTCATCTTCAGATAATATTAACCCACATAATGTTAAGCCAATAATGAGCAATCTTTAACCCCAAGCCAAGTCCCATTTATTTCACATCCCAAACCCCAGCATTTAAAAAGGGGTAAAATATTTGTACCCTCCATTTATATTTTGCCAATAAACATCATCCCTCTAAAAATGAGCCTCATCTTAATCTTCTCAGAAAAGTGGTAAATAAAATAATAAAATAAAATACTAATGATTTAACAAAAAATACAGCAAAAACTAAAAAAAAGTACTGAAGCCTACATGTATATGAAATTACTGGTTTTTCAAATTACACCCTATCTCCAACAAATCTTTTTTTTTCAAGAACATATGCTAGCAATAATATAGAATCAACATTTTCCAAATTTCAGCATAGAAATGTATGATGTGCCATGTGATCTGCAGACTATAGTGATCATAGATTTGCATGGAGTGGATTGAAGATGACTGCTGGAAACAAATTAAATAACACAAATTTGGGCTTGTCAAGACTGTTGACAGACAAGGTAAGGAAAGAAGCGGATAATTTACTACTTACAATACATGAAAGTTTGAATGACTACTGTTGTAAAAAAAAAAACAGTCCAAAAATGCACACAAACTCAAAAAAAGTCAGATAATATTTGAATTTAAGGCTATGCCTGCTGGAAGGAGGCCATAAAGATTAAAATGTCCTCATTTTTCCTGAACATCTGGTACCCCTGTACTAGAGAAAAGAAGAAAAGCCAGAAGTAGTGCTTCTGATTTAATAATCAGAATAATCAGTGGTCTGATTTAATAATCAACATTACCGTTCAAAACATATTAGAAAAGTTAGCTATACAATTATTAAAAATACGGCCAAGATTGTTGCTTTGTTTTGTTCTTTTTGTTTTGTTTTAGCAATAAAATCTCCATCTGATCCCAGGGGTCATATTTCTATAAACATGGACATTCACCAGCTCAACCCAAGTCCAATGGGAGATGTATCCATTTTAGAATACAAGCAGTTATAAAGCACTGGACGAACCTTAGAGTTAAAGTGATTAGTAGGAAGAAAAAGACTTGGTGTTATTATTCTGAAATGAATTGGTTGGACCTTGGAACCACGATCCTGAACAGCAAACATCATGATTTGCTTTGGGGAGGCTCCATGTTACCCAGATTTCATCACAGGTGGCTTTTTCTGGAGTCCAGCAGCCTATTTGTGCCAGACAAAGTATTTGCCTTCTGCATTGTTTGTGTTTGATCCATTCCCAACTGTTGCAGCTCAGACTTTATAAAAGCAACAATCTGGACTGATGAGCTAAATATGTCCAATTGGACGAACATCAGATGCTGACAAAAGCTGGATTTCTTTTTTGGCTTTCCTTAATGGCTCTTTTTTTAATATGCCATACTTTCTGACCAATATAAATCAAAGATAATGTTAACAAATGCTTCATATTTTCCACTACCAGTTCCTAGTAAATAGAATCCCAGTAAATATGGACCAAATCAGAGGTATATTTGTATATTGCATTTTTATTTACAAGTATTAATATTAATATTTTAACTTTATTGTAATGATACTCTTTATATGAGTACATTAAAAGATCTTGCTCATAAAGAAAACTGAACAAGGAAGATGTTAAATATGATAAAGCTGCCATTGAATTGTATAAGAGCAATTTAAATTTGAGGAGTTAGAAATTTTGTGTAAATTAAATCAAGAAAAGAGGCTGTGTCTGTTGAATTATGGAAATTCTCTACATTTTTTTCCCATTTACAGATGTACATATATCTTCGTCATCCAGTCTAGAGGTAGTATTCAGCAGGTTCTGATCAGTTCTAGAGAACCGGTAGCTGAAATTTTAAGTAGTTCGGAGAACCGGTAAATGCCACCTCTGACTGGTCCTGCCCTCATCTATTCTCTTCCTCTCAAGTCTCAGCTGATTAGAAGGGAATGAGGATTTTGCACTAATCTTCCCCTGAAGTGGTGAGGGAATGGAGATTTTACAGTATCCTTTCCCTGCCATGCCCACCAAGCCATGCCACGCCCACCAAGCCATACCTATAGAACCGATAATAAGAAACTTTTGAATCCCACCACTGATGCAAACAGCTATTTTCCCAACTCATCCAACAGGGAATGAGTTTGTTATACCTTAAGCAATTAGTCAATTGCATTTTGGACACTGGTAATTGAAATTTAGAGGCTGAGATATTACTTTTGAGTGCAGTAAACTGTTCACCCACTGATAGTGGTATATATTTAAGAAGCTACATAGAAATAAAACTTTTTCAGATGGAAGAAATTTTCCCACCCACAGTGCTGAAGTGGAAAACAAAGCTACAAAGAATGTTGTCTTTTATGCAGTTTTTGAAACAGACAAAAACCCTCTCAAAAGCTAAGCCAATTAAAAAAATATTCCTTTAAAATAACAAATAAAAACACAGATAAAGATACATAATTTACAGGTAATAAATACATAGTGAAAGATGATTTGATTCCTGCTGTTTATCCATTTTTGCCTGGTCTTTAGATACAACATGGCTTATTTTCCTCAGGACAAGGAGCTCCATCCAATCAATCTGACTTCTTTAGATAATTTCTGGCCCTGAGTTCCAAGCCACCCTCACACCTACATTATTCCTGGGTTCACAATTGCTTTCATGGAGCAACCATGAAACAACAATCTAAACTCTTTCTAAAGATGGAGCACTCTAAATGTTACCATCATCTCCCTTACTTCCATCTCTCATCTGAAGGAACAGCAGATATCTATAATTTAGTATTCCCAGTCCATCAAAACCATCCATTGTAAACAGCTCAGCTTGCAATTCAAGAGTGCTTTTAGAAATCCAAATTTTGGTTGCCATAGACAGAACGAAAAGCATGAACTCCTTTCTTTGAGTCAAGCTCCCATATTTGAGAAGTAAGATTGACAAGCCCCACAGCAGTCACAGAATTTAGCTTGATCCCTAGCATATCTAGATCCCTAGCATATCAAGAGCCAAGGTGGCGCAGTGGTTAAATGCAACACTGCAGGCTACTGCTAGATCAGCAGGTCAGCGGTTCAAATCTCACCGGCTCAGGGTTGACTCAGCCTTCCATCCTTCCGAGGTGGGTAAAATGAGGACCCAGATTGTTGGGGGCAATATGCTGACTCTCTGTAAACCGCTTAGAGAGGCCTGAAGGCCTATGAAGCGGTATATAAGTCTACTGCTATTGCTATTGCTATTGCTATCTACTGGCTGGACACTGTTTTCACTGTTGCTCACTGCTAGTATCCAAGTGCCCTGAATTCAACCTGTTAGAGGTTGAAGCATTCTCTTTGTGAGTGCAAGCATTCTTTTGATAAAAAATTAAAAATAAGTAATGATTAGTGAACCAAGTGTTATAACTGTAACAGAAATTTATTTACAGGAAATATGTTATCGACATAGGCAAAGCCTAGCAACTAGATAATTATTCCTATCAGGAGAGGGGAAAAAGGTAGAAGAAACTGATTCAGATTAGCAATGAGATGAAAAGCAGGCAGAACAACAGGCAAAACGAGGACAATTCCCATTAAGCCTATCCTGTACAAGAGGAGGATATATTGGATCTTATTCAAATTACAGAATTTAGCAAACCTTTTGCCAATCTTGAAACAAACAAGGTTGCTGCATAACCAGGCAACCTACACAGAGGGAAGGTTTAATGTGAAAACCCTATATTAAACCACTATGCCTAGGTATAAATTGTTCCAGGCATAAGGTAAATGTGAGAAAACCAACCAACTTTGCCATTGTATAAACAGAATCACATGGCAATGGCTTTGGTTTTCTTGTTTAGTTGATTTCTTTTGCTAGAAGAAAAGGGCAAATTTCATTTATTCACACCTTGTCAGCATGACTACTTATCACATGTTTTATGAAGCAATGTTATGTCGTACCATTACCAAAATTTGGTCACTAGGGGAGCAATATTTGTAACTCTTTTTTTCCTTTGATATCCTCTTACCTTTTCATTCCACCAATAGAATACAAGGAAATAACAGAGATTCTGAAATTCTTCTGCAGGCTGTGTCAAATTAGATCAACTGGCAAATATAGTCACAACTGTGCGAGATATCCTTTGTATAATATATTCATTTTTTTGCCCCTGTCAGTTTAATGTGAGTCCCTTGGAACTCCCTCGTCAAAAAAGTATTCAGAACAACCTAAAGATCTTTCCTTCCTTCCTTCCTTCCTTCCTTCCTTCCTTCCTTCCTTCCTTCCTTCCTTTCTTTCTTTCTTCCCCATTTCAGTACAATCATTGTTAATATATGTTTGGTTGTGTCTACCATATTCACCAATGAGAGCACTTCAGGTTAAAGTTTCCAGTTCCTGGCATTTTTTTAAATGTAGACACCTCAGCTCTTACCCTCTTCATTAATATTACACAAACAAAGTGGGTGGTCAAGAGGCTGCAACCAATCACTTACCTTGTGGTTGGGTTTGGACTTCACATCAGCCTCAAAGTATGTTAGAGAACCACTCCCGAACCACTCCCTAATATAATTTCATCAAGGGAGTGTATATAGCAAGACAAAATAACAAATAAATAATTTGTACATTAGACCAAAATACAGTATATGTACAGAGGCAATCCTTTCCTTTGCACTAGTCATCATAAATTAATCATGTAATCTGAAGTGTTTCTCCTCCATGATAGTTCAAGAAATCAGTAAGGAAGTGAACAGTGAAGAATATAATATGAAGGTATAACATAGAGCTTCATATGATGCTAAAGTTGACAAAGGACTTCAAACATTATTAACAAACATAGATGAACACACTATAAATATTTGCCCTCTAGCCAGTAGATTACCACATTATTTCTAATAGCCTAATTTGAGAATGAACATAAAAATATAGGTGAATACACTAAACAAGAAAAGAGACACTGAAAATGGAAAGACCAGGCTAGTATTTACTTAAAACAGCTTAAAACAGTTGCACTGACAATGTTTGTCAATATTTATTACTCAAAATAGTAGAAATTGTCTGCTGTACAAAAAGCCATCTGAGTTTTAACATTTATTTCTAAAATAATGTGCTACAATATTAGTAGCACATTTAGAAGACACTGGTCTTCTAAAATAAAGGAGATATATCAGCACTTGTCAGATAAAGTGGTCTAAACACTTGTAGCAGATTTTTTTTTTAATTTAAAAACTGATAGTAGCTAAAAGTATCATGGGTGCTATAGATACCACTGTATGATGAAACCATAATTCATTATTTAAAAAATTGAAGAGTAGCGTAAGAAAACTATTAGTATTTGAGCAATTAAAGTCCAAAACATAACCTGGGTTGGTTTTATGTAACCTTTTCTAAACAACCCTCAGTCTGGAAATGTTACGTATTTGAAGGCCATTTCTAATCTGGATTAAACAATTAAGCACAAAGAACTGTCAGGAACTTGAAATTGTCTATCAGCACCTAGTGTTACTGAGCAAGGACAGATCACATTGTTTCATGACATATCACATCATGCCATACACTGTAGTTGTGTGGAGGATGATTTATAAACTTGCTTCTAAATTTGACAAAGAAGGGCTATTTCTGGCAAGGCCAGTGTCCTCATGCTAACCTCATTCCCTCTTAGTTTTCATGTCCTCCAGACACATGAGAAGATATTCATCCTTCTCCTTTCATCATGCACAGCAGGGAGGGAACCAAGTCTCGTGGGAAGGGAGATAAATATAGGCACTTAGCTGAGCAGGGTCAGAATCAACTGCACAGGTGTGTGTGGAAAAGACAACAGGAAGATAATTGCCTATGTTTTTCCTGATTTAGTGTTCTCCAGAGGTCAATCAAGAAGGCAGTGAAGTTGTATGTCATTTTAGGTCTCAGAGCAACTGATCTCGAGCAAAGTCAGAGCTCTTCAAGTAATGTAGCCTCTGGGGAGAGACACTTCCTCAAATTATGCTAAACATTGTGCTTGTTAAATGAATCACACCTGATTTTACGATCTTTTTTGCCATTGGTGTTAGTCCAATCACCACAGTTGGTAAGTAAATCGCTTGGTTACTAAGTGAATCCAGCTTCCCCTGTTGACTTTGCTTGTCAGAAGCTGGGCAGATCTTTTCCTAAGATCACAAAGGGTGATCGCATGACTCCAGGACACTACAAATGTCATAAAATTAAGCATCTTAATTTTGATCATATAATCATGAGGATGTTGCCACAGTTGTAAGTGAAAAGACCGATCATAAGTATTTTTTTTCAGTGTCATTGTAACTTTGAATGATCTCTAAATGAATAGCTGTAAGTCAACTACCTGTTTTACTACCGGCATCCAATAGCAAGATGCATCTTCCTGGTTGATTCAAATGCTTATGTTTTGCTATTCATGCTAGAACAAGACTATGCAAGCACACAAGATCCAATGCATCTCAGCAGTTTTACTATGGCTGTAAAAGTGGAATTTGCACACACATCTACAAGCTAAGGGTGGTAGACAATGACAAAATTTCTTATTCCCAATCAGGGAAAATTCAGCATGAAAATTAAGGAAGACCTCTCTGTGACCAGTTATCCCTGAGTCCGCCCTGAGTCCCTCGGGAATAGGGCAGCATACAAACTTAATAATAATAAATAAATATCCCAACAATAAAGTAGGCTTCAACAGCAATAGTTTCAATAGCACATACTTAAAAAATTATTGTTTATTCTTGTTTAAATACAGAGACAATCTACTTTTGATTACCTTAGCTTAATATGCACTTAGATGATATTTTACACTAAACCTTACTCACCGTACTGCACTGATATTCTTTTTTCCTTCTCAGAGCTCAAGACGACAAACATTGGACTTCCTTATTTTTATCCTTTTAATAACCATGTGAGTGAAGTGGCATTAAGACTGTGTGACAGTTCCAAAGCTCTGTAATCAAGTAGGAGTACAGAGGGTTTCCTAAGTCTCAATCCTACAGTACACTGGCTTTTGGTGTGAATGGTTTTTCTTAGAGCAATGTGCTAATATACATCAAGAAAAAGAGAGTAACTGTTTATAAATTACAAAGCCAAAATCAAATTATATTATTATGGCTTAATAATGTTCATGTATAATATAACTTTGCTAACCTGATATCCTCTAGATATGAAGCCAATTGATTTTTGTCAATTGCCAGTATGTGGAATAGTAGATACTTTGTCCCAATCTATACAGTTGTTTATAGGCATACTGGAGGCACAGTCAGACACAGAAAATCACTCACACGTAGCTACTTCCAACGAAAAACTGATGATTGACTAAAAAAAAAGGAATTACCAATCTTTTTATGTGAATAAAGATTACAATTTTGAATTAGTCATAACACATACTTTGTCCAACATTCTGCTTGAAATAAATTTACCTCTCTCAGCTGAATTTGGATTTCTTTATTTGAGGCATCAGGATTAAACATTTCCAATCTTAAAGAAAAGTTCAGAGGAAACTTCAACATTTGGTTGAAAACCCTTAGCATTGATTAAGCAAATACAATATATAGATATGGTAGCAGTTTAACCTAATTCTTTGCTACTACCTATTTCCATATGTTTTGTGTATATCTGTAGGTCATAAAGTGATACACAGAGATCCGTAACGCATGCTTTTCTGATATGTGGCAATGCTAAGCTTGGAAAGAACTTGATAGGTGGATAAAATATGCCAAATCCATGTTAAACATCTGGCTGACAGTCTGATGAACCATAATAATAATATATTCAGCTCATTCAAGAACAGGGCTGTCAAACCTGCCACGCCCGTTTTAGCAAAGGGGAAAAAAGTCACAATACGTCATGTGAGGCTATAGCAATAGCAGTTAGACTTATATACCGCTTCATAGGGCTTTCAGCCCTCTCTAAGCGGTTTACAGTCAGCATATTGCCCCCAACAACAATCCGGGTCCTCATTTTACCCACCTCAGAAGGATGGAAGGCTGAGTCACCCTGAGCCGGTGAGATTTGAACAGCCGAACTGCAGTCAGCTGAAGTAGCTGCCGTGATGACGTGAGTTTGACACCCTGTGCAGGAAGATAACACAAACTGATTATAAACAACAACGTAACAAAATAAGATGTTCACTGGAATGTTTGTAAAAATTGTCAAGTGCCAGTAATGAAAAATTGGTGGGAACACAAAGTTGGAAAGGTATTTGAAAATGAGCAGGTTAAAATATTGTGAGATCTTCTGTTTCAAACTAAAGTCTTACAAGTCTTACAGCCATAGTTAGATTTAACTATGGCTGAAAAGAAAAAAAAAGTGTTGATAATTGAGGATAATAGAATTGAAGACAAAGAATTGGAGATTACAAAGTTTTCAAGAGCTAAAAACTGAAAGATTATGGCATAAACTGGCCATGGTGGTTCAAGTGGTTATAGCCACACTAGGTGCAATGCCCCCCCCCAATAGATGGCATTTAAAAATCTGTGCATTTAATTGACACAATTCCCATCTGCCAATTACAAAAGGCCACACTGCTTGGATATGCATATACAATATACTGTGTGATGTATTATGACATATGGCTAGGTTTTTGGAAAGAACTCAATGCATATGAAAGCCAACCCCAGCGAACAATATGGAATTCATATTGTTGTGTATGTAATAATAATAATTTATTAGATTTATATGCTGTCTGACTCTCAGTGATTAATGATTAAAAAGTAAATATGAGAAAATCTGTTTCTGAAAATGTACCCCAATTCATAATATGTGCACATGTAGCTTTCATATTTCAGAGAGTTTCCTCAGTGAAGATGTCATATGTTCCAATCTCCCCGCTGGTATAGGAAGACCGTAATTTATTTATAAATACAAATAGCAGCAGCAACATTGCACAACATTATAAATTGTAGGTTACAGAACATGAGGATCTGGAAGAAGCCTCAGCCAGTCGTAGCTTCTTGCCAAATAAACATGTACAGTCCATGTTCATTTGCTGTACATATTACAACAAAATGTATAAATCATTTTTTAAACTGAGAAATATGTCATACCCAGTGGCACACCCATTTAATGTTTTCTCCAGCTTTATGGAATGTATTACATGGCAATAGTGGGAGAATTTTAGTCTTTTAAAGAAGAAGAATAACAGACAATTTTAGATTGCAGCAGTAAAATACTTTAAAACTGAAATTCTTTAGCCAGTTTAAGGATTATTCTGGAGTCAAAAGTTTTATTACTTGTATTATTCATATTATCAAGTTCTGGGTCTCACTTATCCCGTATGACTGCATGTGGTTGGAATAGTATGTCTACGGATTGAGTTGAATTCAGTAAATATAGTGAATTAAGGCAGAGTATTAAAACACATCTTATGAGTACTATGAAATGTCATTCATTATGAATGAATGTCATGATGAGGATTCTTATCTTTTTGAAATAACAGCAGCTGTGGAGGGAAGTGTTTTGGCCTTCTGGCAATGAATTAATGTTTTTTTTTTGTTAGTGTTGTTGACATTTTCCAACTAAAATGTAGCAAATAAAATAGAGGTTCATAAGTATCAAGCATCAAGACTGTAGATTAACCTCGGAAGCAAGACAGCGTCTCCTAAATATCCTTCCCCAATTGAATTGTCATTTAAAAGAAATTGCTGCTATAATGCAGCTAGCAATCATGCTACCTGGACTGAAATAAATGAATCTTATGTTAAATAAATTAAATCAAATGTAGATTTTATCCAGAGTCTAGTAATTTATTTAATGTGGCACATCACTGTTTTTGGGTACAATTGAGCCCACAATTTCTGTTGTTAAGTGAGTCTTGCCCTACTTTATGGCTTTTCTTGCCACAGTTGTTCAGTGAATCACTGCACTTGATATGTTGATAACATGGTTGTTAAATGAATCTTGCTTTCCCGTTGATTTTGCTTATCAAAAGGTTGCAAAAGGTGATCATGTCTTTTGCAACCTTGGGAAACAGCAACAGTCATACATACGAACCAGTTGCCAAGCATCTGAATTTGGGGGTGCTACAAAGGTTGTAAAGTGTGAAAAATGGTAGTAACATTTTTTCAGGCCATTGTAACTTTAAACGGTCACTATAACTATATTTTATAAGTCAAGGACTCCCTGTATAAGCTTCAATGATACGGTCAACATTACCTTTAGGTTTATGTAGGCTTAGGCAGAAACACTTCTATCACAAATGGTGGTTATTATTCTCTAATCATACAGAAACTTTTTAGATATAAACATCCATAGGTTCAAGGTGCTTGTTCTCTCCCTTGTTTACTCTGTTCTAAAGTTCTACCATAGCAATAGCACTTAGACGTATATATCGCTTAACAGTCCTCTCTAAGCTGTTTACATACTTAGTATATTGTCCCCAACAATCTGGGTCCTCATTTTACCGACTTTGGAAGGATGGAAGGCTGAGTCAACCTTGAGCCAGTGAGAATCGAACTGCTGGCAGTCAGCAGAATTAGTCTGCAATAATACTGCAGTCTAAACACTGCACCACCACAGTTCATTAGCGCTACCATGGTTCTAGCACACACACAAAAAATCTATTGTTCAGTACATACTCGTATAATTTATTCTAGCCCAGTAGAAGAAACCCAAAAGATCTTACAACTCTTTCTAAGGCTGCTCATGATACTTTGTAGTTTATTATTCTTTTTATTTTCATTGCTTGACTTGGCAAAGGGAGATTTCCTAACAGTTTTTTTTAAAATGATCTCATACCATAAAACACACCAAAGGAAGTGATTTCTTGATTTATTTTTAAATGATAAACTATTTAGCAAAATCAAATTTGGAACTTGTTCACATGCCTATACTCGTCATTCATTAAGTATAGCAGCTTCATTGGCTAACTGAGTTATGACAACATTTTTTCTTTAAAGATAAGTATTTCAAAGCACTTTCAAAGTAGTACTTTTAGTGAAATCTGTATCCCACTCAACAGGGAATATTTTGAGTATTTGAATAAGGTGGAATCAGTTGAGTTACATACTGGTAAATGTGGATTCATTTGAGTGGATCTATAAAATTATTAAAAGTGGATCCATAAATTGTTATCCAGTTTTCCTTCACATGTGGGAATAGAAAATCCTGGCAAGGAACTTTTAAACTGAAAATCTAATAGAAGAAAATATATGCTGCTCAGGGATGAACTGCAGAATCCTTGCTGCTCTCTGAGCTTGGTTGTTTGCTTGCAGATATTTCATTACCTGACTAGGTAACATCACTAATGTTCTGTAAGCAAATACTTGAGTTCAGAGAGCACCAAGGACTCCACAAATTGGAGAAATTCTAGGCCTGTGTTTCCAAAATGAATTCTTATTTCTATGAATGTTTTCTTCTTTCTTGAATGAATCTTCATAGAGACAGTGTACTATTGCAGACCTGAATGAAACAATTCTCTGAAAGTTGTTAAAATGCTGGGCTAAAACTAAAACTCCAAATGTCTATGGAGATTCTTAGTCATCCAGGTCAAGGTTATCCCAAAGGTGCTTTTTCAAAAGACAACTGGACTTTGTTTGAAGATGTTTTGCTTCTCATTCAAGAAGCTTCTTCAGTTGTGAAGAAGAAAAGAAGCAAAACGTCTTCAAGGAAAAATAAGTTGCCTTTTGAAAAAAGAACCTTTAAAGAAATTTAGGTTTCACTTCAACTTAGCTATAGAAATTCATGATTTCTAGGAGCCAGTGTTGTTCTTATGGAGATAGATGTGAAGGAAGATCTCCATATAAAACTCCTGAAGAAAAACTGTGTGTGTGTCTGAGTGTCTATAGGGGAGGGGGATTATATGCATGCAATGGCACCCAATTTTTTAAAAATATTTTCTTCCCATATTGGCAAATTGATCAAATCTGCACTATGGGATAATTAGAAGAAAATATAAAATAAGCCAATTATTAGACTATTAAAGCTGATGTATTAATATTTTATTGTTCCAAGAGAGGAAGAAAACATAACACCGAGGTGATTTTAAAAACTGATATACAGTAGATACATTTATTGATGTATAGTGCTGTGCAAAGTTTCAAAGGAAAGCTTTGATCTGAATAAACTTTGATTGAACCATCAAAGCAGTTTCTCCATTCAAAGTGAAAACCAGCTTTAATGAATTGAATCAAGCAGCTACAAAATACCATGACAATTTAGCAACTCTTCTGTGCTCCTGGGATTATTATACACAATATAGGATGTTGCAATAGCATTTCCATACACAACAAATCCTTGGAGAAATGATTGGAATGGTGGGAAGTCTGACACAGACACGAAGAGGGAGCAAATATTTTCCACACTAAATGAAATATATGCCTATAAAAATTATCTGAGGGTGATAAGGCTTACATTGCTTTCGTCTTTCTCGGTAATTAGCTTCTTTAATGTGGTTAAGACATTACTTTATCTTTTGTGTTAATGGAAAGTTACACTTCTTTCTTGGTTAAGGTGACCAGATATTCAGATATAAATATAAAAATTTTATATTTTGTCAAACATGACCCCAGGACACTGAAACCATCATAAATACGAATCTGTTGCCAAACATCAAAATTTTGATCATGTGACCATGAGGATGCTGCAACGGTCGCTAAGTGTGAAAATGGTCGCTAAGTGTGAAAAT